TGATAATATTTTGGAAAAAACCCATATCATAAATAAGTATTTTAAATTAATAATTAATTAATATATATTGAATTATTTTAATGATTCAATACTATATATTATTATTAGCCAAGGAAATTAGAAACAGAAGCAGCATCAAATAATGAATTGAAAAGTATACAGAAAATGATGAATGGAGGTACATCTAATTCAATAGAAAATATGTTTAAGGTAAAAAATATTTATCAAGAGAAATAGATTATTTCTCTATATTTTATAAAATAAACTTCTGAATTTAAAAAGAATCTATCAATTCACTATAAAATACTGATTTCATATCTCTTCTATGAAAAATATGCATAAATATCTATTTATATTTAGGCATATCTATATATCTGCAGTAAAATTATATAAGAAAAATTATATATTACAGTAACATCTCCAATTTTAAATTCAGTTAAACAAAAAAATTGTTTTAATTGTTTATTCATAATACATATAGTGACACAAAATATTTTATAATTGGTTTATTTTGTAAATAATTAAAACAAACTATCATTTAATTGGTTATTATTTTCACTTTCACTCTATATTTGTACAATGATCATTCTTCATTCATTTAGAAATAAAACTTTTAAACTTTTATAAATTTACACAAATAATAGTTTATTAAATAAGTGTTAATTATAATAAGTATTTTATTTCACTTTTTTACCTTCATTGTATTTATTTAAATTATATTTGTAAGTTAAGTGAATTCTGCTTTTAGTAATTAAAAAGAAGACTTTTAAAAATAATTCATATTACTAAAGAATAAACTGAATTTAAACATTGTAATATTAATTAAAAGTATTTTTGTTGCAGTTTTGTTAATCAGTATATAATTTAAATTGTAATTGTATTAAATTTAACAAATGATCCAGTTATACAAAAGATGTTTCATTTTTTAATCTTATGATTTTCTTTTATAATGTCTTTATAAAAGAAAAAAATAATGTTGATTAAAATTGACAGCATAATTAGAATAAAATTGATATTTAGAACATTTTATAATTATAAACACTTTTAAACTGTTTAAAAAAATGTTTATAATTATAATACTGTTTAAAAAACATCAATTTCTATAAATTACTTACCTTGTTTTAATTCTTGTATTTAAATATGGAAAGTTTTCAGATTTCTTATATTCCCATCACCTCTTCTATAATTATAACTTCATATAATGAAACAAACACAATATAATGAATTAACAATCATTTTAAATAATCTACAGTGAGAATTAAGAATATTACATTTTAATTTTTATCTCCAGAAATATCCAAAGTACAGGTAACTTGAAATATACAACAGTTATACAATATTATTTGTATTTAAAATTGTAAAAATACAAGAAATACAGGGATGGTGAAAAAGTAGGTATACCATTGAGAATCTGAGAAATAGAAATGTTTGGTGTTCATCATTATTACTTTTATTATCTTTTATTAGTTCGTATTCCTTATTTGTGATTTAATTTGTACATAAAAAGAAATTTTGTTTTTTCCTATTTTTCCCTGTATGTTTTTTCTCCATAATAGCAATTGTATACCTACTTTTGTATCCCCCCATCTAAAATGAAAAACTGTAGATATCTCCTCCTACATCAATATATCTTCTCGTTATTCAGTTCAGTCGACCCGCCCTATAACATGGGTTCCTATAGTTCGGATTCCTATATCACGGCGAAAAAATTGCGACAGTATTCGTGCAGACATGCTAAAAAAACTCCTATAATTCGGTAAAACATCATTGCCGACTTGTGTCGTGACAGGATTGGTCGAATCTAGACCACGATGAAAACAAGCTTAAGCAATGACATGGTCGAACGGTGCACACTCAGTAAGTAAACCTACAATCTTTTGTTTATGGCATAGTTTATATGGATTATTCCCAAAAAATTTATACGTATTTTGGAAATGTTGAATCGAATTAGTCTAGAATCAATTAATTTTATAGAAGAAACCTTTCAAACAGCCGTAGTTGTAAACTGAATACATGCCGGGCTGTGATTGGCTGGACTCATAGAAAATGAATTCATAAAATCTGGAATGTATCTACCGTGTTATAGGGGGTAGACTGTATATAATTATATACAACCATGCCATAGCATATAGAATCTAGAAAAATTAAACAAGAGAATTATATCACAAAAATATATGACAATAACATTAATACATAAGTTTAATTTAAATTTAAAGGATAATTATTTCTCAAACATAGAAGGAAACAATATGATTTTGAACAATTTTGGAAATATAATTTATATATACTAAATAACAAATAATAGAGATGGTGTGTAATCTTGTAAAACTTTCCTAATCTGCTCATATATCACAATATTTTTTCTTTACATTAGATGAATAATATAAAGTGAGAACATTATTTAAAAATAATTACTTAAAAAAACAATTTATAAATTGAATGTCAATTTATATAGGCTGGGTATATAAAACCTGAAGCAGGCCTGTTAAGAAAGCTGAAAATGTTTATATATGGAGTTAAAGTGTTGCTGGAATTATTTTATGGTTTCTTCTTGTCTAAAAGAATTTTAAGAAAAATCTTGATACAATTCATCTATGATTTTATATCATACTAGCAGACCCCGCCACACGTTGTTGTGGCTCAAAATGTATCTATTATAAATGTATAACACTTCCCCCGTGGGAGGGAAATTTTTCGAAAAATATCTTCTTAGTGTACATTTTCTTGACGTACCCTATTAAAACGCAAAAAACCGCATCTAAAATAGTATAAAAAGAAGCAGAGTTCTTTACAGTAAGCCTTAATTCTGTCCATCTCCCGGGGGATTTCGACATGTATATTATATAAAAACACGTGTGTATTCGAATGCAGCGTTGTGTCTAAATTTCAAAGGAATCGGTAAGAACAAACGAACATTACATTTTTATTTATATAAATAGATAGAAGATGATCTGCTTTAGTTCATTTTCACAGAAAAGCATAATGCCTCATAGAAAAGCAAACTTAGGACGTCATACTCGTAGCGCCATCTGTTGACATAAAAGCCTTAACCTAGATTGTATATTTTAATTTATATGAATGTTTAACAGAATAATATACAGCCTATGTCTACCCTGAGGTTCCATTCTAAATATTGGTGAAAGAATTTTTGAAATCGGATGAGTAGTTTCGGAGATTACCTGCTGCAAACAAACTTACAAACATTACCTCTTTATAATATTAGTATAGATGAAAACTGGGTTGTTCCTATCATAACTAGCATTTGAGGCAATGTAAAATGTGTTTATCATTGTTACTTTTACAAATTCTGTTTGCACTCATAGCATTTCATCATTAGCACAAAATGTTCACTATTGTTCAGTGCTTTTGTAAAGAAATTTTAATAATTTTATGGACTTTTAATACTACTGCATTATTAATAATAATTATCTCTGTGTCATTCGTAACTTATTCAATGAACAAATTATTAAAAACATGATCATATATTTTTTATATATAATTTTTTACAAAATTTTACACAATTGTAGAGATTTTGTCTAATAATAATTTTATCATAATAATCCTCAATAAAAAATTTTTTACTTTTATCTATAAACTAACATGAAAGTAATACTTAGATTATGAATAAAACACCAGTCTTCACCTTATGTAAGATTTGGAATTAATTATTTTATTGTATTATCATTATTATAAAAGTATCAAATTTGAAAGCATTTCTATAAATAATTTTAAGTGCAGAAATGTTGAAATAAAAATTTGGTTTTGATTACATGTACAGGTACATTATTAAAGTTATAATTTGCTAAATTGGCATATCTAAATATTTTTATAATATCATACATTTGATGTGGAATAATTTCAAACTTTTTATATTATTTTAGTGATCAAGAATAATTGATTTGAATGAAATAAAATACTAATGTTATCTTTTTAAGTTAAAGTTTGAATTTAATCTTAAAAGCTTGTTATATGATGATTTTGGATAAATCTTGTAAATCGCATTTGTTCATCTTTTAGTCTATTTGAATTTTAAAGTGCAGGGATCCCTCATGCAACATGGTACTTCTACAACACTGTTTCACTCTTAGCAGAGTTTTGGAAATTCTCTGTACAAAATTTCACAACTTTTTAATGTAAATTTCTTTATTTGATATTTTTTTTTATTCAAGTAATCATGCATGTTGTCTCAAGTTTGCCAAAGGATTTTAGAATATTGAAATTATTTTGTCAGGTTTAATTTAATGAAAATTGACAGTACCATTTCTGTTATTCCTTTCCTATCAATTAGGTATTATTGTCATTGACTTTCAGACTTTAGTTCTTAATACTATCACTATGTTTTGGTTTTATGGATTAATCTTTGCATTTAATAAAGTTTAAACATTTTTAGATAAGTGCTATTAAACTTTTTTTAAGTGTAGATAAGCAGTCATTCATAAAATGACAAATGAAATACAACAGTCTTGGTATTTGAATATAAATTCTGGAAAAAGTCACTTGGTACTCAATGGAACAAAGCAACTCATTAGAACAAATTTTCAATTAATAACATATTTTTATTTCATCATCCATAAAAGTTTTTTTGATAAAAATAAAAAAATATGAAAATGTTGATACTACTTCTGATTATGATCAACAAAATAGCTGATATGATGACAATACTTTGTAAAAAGAAAATGCCCAAGTGTAACTAAAATTAATATTAACACATAATACAGTATTTTTAATTGTGATTGTTAATTAATTGTTGATTGGAAATAAATTAGTAATTGCTTTAAAAAAACATATTTCTCTTAGTAATGAAAAAGAAAAATATATTTTTGCTAACTTCTGGAACATAATCCTGTGTTTTGCATTAGTCCTTTGCTTTGTATAGCATGAGTTCACATAACAAAGCATTTTTTGGAGTATAACTTCCATGTTACATGAGGAATACCTGTATATTTTAAATAGTTTAATTTATTTAAATCTCTATTCTTAAATTTTTTTACAATATAATAATTTTTTATACTTTTAGTTGTCTTCTGAAGAATGGCAAAATGATGATATTTTAAGTTCAGAAATATCAGATGACAAGATGCAAAGCTGGGAAGAATTAGATATTGGACCAGCTCCACCACCGCCACCTCGAACAGTTAGTAAAGCATTACATTATCCTCAGAAGTATAAATTAAAGAAATGTAAAGAGGATTCTGAAGTAATGAGCATTAATTCAAATGAATCACAGGTAGATACTCAATTTTAATGTTAAAGTACATTTTTTAAGTAAAATAATTATTACAAAAATACTGAATTATTTGCATTTTTCATAAACTATAGAGTGCACTGCACTTTTAAAAAACGGCTACTTTATCTGGGTTGCTTGCAACTAGTAATGTAAAATTAATCATATATTACTGTCCGATGTAATGATATATGCTGCTTGTAGCTTTTTATCAAGAAATTTTATAGGAGGAGAACAATTATTGCTAGCAGGTCACGTCATTATGTGGTATCAAAACAAATGAGAGTGATCGTTCAATACATATTTGTGCCTTTTGTGTTAAAAACCATCAGCTTTGGCATTGTCCCATCAGGACCAGATTTACAAGTAAAAAGCTATGTAAGTTGTTGCTTAGGGCCTCGACTTTCAAGGGGCCTCAAACATTTGTACAAAAAAGAAAATTGTCAAATTTTGTAATAAACATTTTTTTACAAACCAACAAAATATACTTTACTTTTTATTTTGTATAGTATTTCATTAATTTTTTTTATAAGAATTAACATAAGATCTTTTTTAAAAAAATTGATAAAACCAATTTTAAAAAAAAATTTTAATGGAATAAGTATAAAAATTTAATTAAATTCAGTTATAAAATAGAAGACTAGTGAAACCTCATGTCTTTTTCTTCCAATATTCATATTAAATCAGAGTCATAGTCTGATTTAATTCTTTTCTTTTTATGATTGACTTCTAAAATTGTGAAGGGTTGGTAAGGGGTTTTACAGAGTTCAGCTTAGAGCTTCGAAATGGTTAAATCTGACCCTGTATCCCACACAAAATTACTGGCATTTTACACTTTAAGAAAATATGTTTTAAAATTGACAGCATAACTTGTTTATGTAAATCTGGACAATCGGGAAATTGCCAATTCTTAACAGTTTAATCCATTCTTCAAAATTCAGAGAACCTCATAAATATAACTGACCGATTTCTGAATAATCATCTGTTTTTCATGTGGGAATAGACGAAAACTTATATCAGGCTCCCGTAAGGCTTTGAAATTGCAATTTGGAACACAACAGAAAGCTTTGTTTTTTCTATTGCTATTCATCTTTACTGCTGATAATACACAAGAATGAATCAAACAACCCATATAGGATAATTTTGTTTTTAAAGACCAGAGGGCATGCATCCGGTGAAAAATAAGAATAACCATTATAGAATTTTTCTTTTTGATAATTCATAATGTGTAATTGTAAAACAGATAATTGTAAAGATTTGGAAATCAGTTTTATGAAATTTAATAGTGTAAAGACATTATAAGATTAATATCTTGTCTTTCTCTGATCTGTATTAGTCATATTAAATTACTTGAATGTTTTTTCTTCACTTGCTGTAAGCAATAAAGTGTATTTAAATAAATATAAGGCTTCAAAAATCATTACGTATATACGTATTTTTACCGAATTTACCGGTACATTTTTAACTGATTACTGATAAACATATATGAAAGTGTATTTAAATAAATATTTGGCTTCAAAAATCATTACGTATATACGTATTTTTACCGAATTTACCGGTACATTTTTAACTGATTACTGGTAAACTAATAAACCGTTCGGCAGTAATGCAATTCCTAATTGGGATAATTGAATTGTGTTCGAAATAATTCAATATGCAAGTTAAATTGTTATTTTATTTCCAAAAAATTAACTGGTATGTGTGTATCTTTTTTCACTTACTGCTACAAAAATTTTAATATATTTAATAAATGTCGTTTAAATTATTTTAGTTTTAAANAATATTGAAAGCTTTTACTATTATTTATTATTTATGTTATTGAAAAGCTATTTACTTTTTGTGTTCACTCATAAAGTTATTGGAAACATTTTGTAACTTTGTGAAGAAAAATAATCTACAAAAGATAGCTATGAATAAGGGATTGTTTATAAATTATATAATGCTATTTTTATACGTTTCAACTGCCATTCCATTCCCTGTAATGGTCCATAATGCTATCACATATACCCGCATAATTTTTATGCAAACATGAATGTTTTTGATCTGCACAGGAGATCTTCAGGTTAAAATATTTTCAAATAGAATGTGGAAACAGAACATTCTAGAAGAATGTTCTATTTTTGCATTTGTTTGTGTTTGCATAAAAATATCCTGGAATTTCTTTTAAGATTTATATGTGTACTGTTTTTATATCCTAAATATGTCAAGCTCCATCTCTCATCATTTGGCTACTTTGTTGTGGGCCTTATTGAACTCCTGAAGGACTTGATTAAAAGATTGCCTTCTTGGTACCTACAGGGCAGAAAGAGGGGAAAAAAGCCAGATGATATCAAGCCCCAACCAAAGCTATCAGATGGTTAAGCTAGCAGAATGAGACAGTACTGATAATTATGCCAAACCAAAAACTTTGCCATTATTCTAAGTAAACATTGAACAGATTCAAAAACTGAATGCACTTTTGTTACTTGTTGACTATACATTGAATAATATCATAAAGTACTCAGCAAATCATTATACATATACAAATACTTAACACCTTATTCTTGCCGAGAAATATAATTTATTTGAACAAACTAACATTTTCAGCCTGATTCACAGGCCATCTTCAGGTTTAGAATACATTTGAATTAAAATTCCATCAATGGAATACAAAATTTAAATTCAAAATTAAATAAGGTACAATTAAANATTTGTATAGACTTGTTTAATCACATCTTACAGAATGCTCTACTAAGTTATATAACAAACAATTTAAAGTTATAATTATTGTCTCTTAAAATATAGACTTGTCCTTTTTTTTTTTTTGATTTTGAATTGCCTGAGGACGACATATACATTTACGTTGAAAGCGCTTGCAAGATTAAAATATTCTTTTTAATTCTCTTTAATGCCTCCTAGTCTGAATTAACAGAATTTTCCTTTTATCTAAAAGATATTGTTATTGGTCAACTATTTATTAATAAGTATATCACATAAAAGTTGTTACAGCTATAAAGTTCTGATTGCTAAACAAAGTATTGTATATTTATGAATAAAGGTGTCTTTGGTTTTAAGATAAATAATAATTAACAAAAATATGAACAAGTTAAAAATTTAATTACTTTAAAAGAATTGTTTTAAAGTTATTGGTTATATTTATTAATAAATATGATTATAATCTCATTTTTCTATTATCATATTTTTATATTCATTATTATATTCTACATTATTGTATAAAAAAGCTTATATTTTTTATGACAGTTTTTAGTTTAAATATCTCATTTGAAAAATAATGATAAACTTTTGGTCATTTTGCTCAAAACAAAGCCAAAAACTCAGCATATAGCCTATTTGCCAATACATTTCTGATATTAGTAAAATAATTTGTTAATAAACAAACTAAAAAGAACTAGAAGCCAGTTATATCAGGTTATACAATGTGTCTAATACTTTCAAATTATAATATTAGTGTTGAGTATTAACAATTCAGTCATTCTGAAGAAAATATGCAGCTTTTTTGCAGCTATGGATTTTACATTGTCTGGTTTGCTCTTTTACTGTTATCTTTTATCCCGTTAGCAAATTTTACATCAACAGCAGTATATAATATTCACTAATAAATATTGAAAAAAATATGACACGATTTCTCAAGGAAAAATATCATTCTGTATTATTTATTTTTATAAATTTTATACACAAAATAATTCTTTCTGTAAGAGATAAGTTATGGAGATATTTTGATAGTAATTTCTTACAGTTTCTTTGAATTTTTGTGAATTGGTTGAGAACAGAGATATATTTTGTTTACTTCATTACCATTTCATATCTTCATTATTACTTCATCAAATTACATAACCAGAAACGATGTAAACTTTTTCAGTAATCCAGTATCCAATGCATAATTATTGCAATCCTAAATAAACAAATAAATAAAATTGAACTTAGAGTAGTTTATTATAAGATATAACACAATCTAAACAAAAATTTTAATTAAACAAAGCTTTCACTTGAGTTTCTATAAAAAAAAAGCTTTGATATACTATATTTAAAAAATAAAACAATTTCTGTTCATTTTAATCATAAACTGCTTTTCTGCTTCAATTTTTATAGATATAAAGATATGTAACTTCTAATAATCTCTAATATTTTATATAAAATAATCTTTATATAAAGTTATTTTAATTATTAATTTTTTAATGAATTTTTAGTTTGATTCAGACAGTGAAACTAAGACAAGTTTAGAAATGGAAGATAAAGATATGAATTTTGAAAGTGAATATGGATATTCAATACGTAAGTAATTTAATTATCATAATTGTCAATAAAATGTTATAAAAAAGAAGAAAACTAAACTTGAATATTCTTGTCATTAAATCAGAAGTCTTCATATATAATTAAATTTATAATATATCATCAGGTTTTCAATAGTATTAATAACAAAAAAGAAAATCAGTAAAGAAAAATAAATAACTTTTTGATTTGTAGTACTGAAATTTTTATTTTGATTAAACACATCAATTTTAGGAATTGTAATATGAAAATTAATTTTTCAGATATTTATATTTATAATTTTATATATATGTTACTGCTAAAGCTCGAAAGCCATTAATGTGTATATTACTTAGCTAATTTGCAGATTAACTAGGGTGATCCGTTAAAGTTGCGAAAATTGTTTCATTTCTCAAATTATCTAGGTAACGTGCAGAGTATCTAAGTAATCTGCACATTACCTACTAGGCACTCGGTAGAGTGAAAATAAGAACTTTGCTGGAACAATAGCAATGTTTCTGTACGCTTAAATTAACATAATGTTGTTTATTTAATTTTCAATATCTAAAGAATCAAGTTAATACAATCAAACAATCAACAAATTAGTTAACAGAATCAATCATCAATCAAGTAAAAAACTGTAATACAAAAAATCAAACGGTTTAAAATATTATTACAATTAGGGAAATGGGGGGTTATATATACTTACCACCTATTTAGATTAACTTAATTTAGATTACCACCTATGGAATTTCAGAACTTTGAGTATATATCTGAACTGAGGGAATCGAGACGAGTTCAACAATACCCTACTTTTGGACCAGAGACAAAAAATAAGAAAGTTATCATACTTTTTCTGGCGATCGCATGATAAAATTTTGCATTAATGTTACCTTTGGTGACTAAAATGGCGGCTCGTCTCTGATTTCAACAAACCAAAGAAAGAAAACAGTGGAGACGCATGTTCTAACCTAACCTAACCTAACCTATTCTAATAAATTACNTTTTTTCTATTGTATAAAAATACAGTGACACATCAACTTTGAACAGTTGTAAATATATGAATGAGTTGACAGATCTACATGAAACTTCACGTGTTCATAAAAAAGTAGTACCATTTTTAAAGAAATAAAGCCACAAACCTACTAGCACTATCTCTTATCAAACAACAAAACTTATTGAACAACCTAGTATTTTATTCCAAATAAAATTTCAAGAAAATTATTTAAAAACTTTTATAACTATTAATATATTCAGTCTTACAGCTATTCAGTTTTATTATTAATATATATTTTTATTAACAATAAAAAGACATTTATAACTTTCATATTTCTTTCCTTAATTTGTATTTAATTATTCATTACTCTAAATTACAAGATATATTTAATTGGTAAATGTTTTGCAATAAGAAAGATGGTTCTTGGTTGTCTAATGTAGGAGTCATAACAAACTACAGTGTATATATGTTACTGCTAAAGCTCGAAAGCCATTAATGTGTATATTACTTAGCTAATTTGCAGATTAACTAGGGTGATCCGTTAAAGTTGCGAAAATTGTTTCATTTCTCAAATTATCTAGGTAACGTGCAGAGTATCTAAGTAATCTGCACATTACCTACTAGGCACTCGGTAGAGTGAAAATAAGAACTTTGCTGGAACAATAGCAATGTTTCTGTACGCTTAAATTAACATAATGTTGTTTATTTAATTTTCAATATCTAAAGAATCAAGTTAATACAATCAAACAATCAACAAATTAGTTAACAGAATCAATCATCAATCAAGTAAAAAACTGTAATACAAAAAATCAAACGGTTTAAAATATTATTACAATTAGGGAAATGGGGGGTTATATATACTTACCACCTATTTAGATTAACTTAATTTAGATTACCACCTATGGAATTTCAGAACTTTGAGTATATATCTGAACTGAGGGAATCGAGACGAGTTCAACAATACCCTACTTTTGGACCAGAGACAAAAAATAAGAAAGTTATCATACTTTTTCTGGCGATCGCATGATAAAATTTTGCATTAATGTTACCTTTGGTGACTAAAATGGCGGCTCGTCTCTGATTTCAACAAACCAAAGAAAGAAAACAGTGGAGACGCATGTTCTAACCTAACCTAACCTAACCTAACCTATTCTAATAAATTACCATAATTATTACCAACCAAATTATTAGAATAGGTTAGGTTAGGTTAGGTTAGAACGTGCGTCTCCACTGTTTTCTTTCTTTGGTTTGCTGGAATCAGGCGAGCCGCCATTTTAGTCACCATAGGTAACATTAACTAATTGTGCTTACTTATTATTGCGTGCTTGTCACAAAAACCAATTGCTATGTAATTCAGTCACCAATCTTTAGACAAAGATTGGTGACTGAATTACATAGCAATTGGTTTTTGTGACAAGCACGCCTATTTGTGGTACATTTATTTGTGGCAAAGATCTTATTTTCACTTTACCGAGTGCCTAGTAGGTAATGTGCAGATTACCTAGATACTCTGCACATTACCTAAGTAATTTGAGAAATGGAACAATTTTCGCAACTTTAACGGATCACCCTAGTTAATCTGCAAATTAGCTAGATAATGTACTCATTAACGGCTTTTGAGCTTTAGCGGTAACATATATATTGTGTAATTTTGTGAGATTAGAAAACTTTTATCAGTATGTCAACATAATACAATTAATTAGATATATGCTATATTATATAGAATTAAATAATTAAAGTACAATACAAAAAATTTGTTGAAACATTTGAATGGAACTTTATTTTTAAATTTTTAGTTTTTCTGTTAATGATGGTAGTTTTTTCTTTTTTTCAACTTTCCGTGTTGTTATATTAAACTATCTTAGTTTGATTAAATTATATATTTTTGACTTGAATCAATTAAAGTAATACTTTTTCACATATTTTATCAAACTAAATCTATTATATTTGAGTAATGTTATTGTGGCAATATGTAATTGAAGTAGAAATGAAATATTATTGAATTTTCTAGCTTATTAGAATTGAACAATAATAGTAATAGCTATGGCGTATTAAACTGTTTTGTTTCTACAGTGACATGACATATCACTACTTTGGAAGAAAACCGGCATAACTCAAAAAAGTGCGATTTTTCAATTATATCAAAATCAAAATGTAGTAAATTTTTATGTGGAAGAGTGTCACAAAAGTAACTTGCGTATTCAGCCACTAGGGAGCAGTTATATGGGAGATAAGTGATATTCAGTTAAACTTTGGTTAAATCTTTGCATGGGATTTTCTCAAAACTAGTAATTTCTAGTTGTGCCAGTTTTCTTCCAAAGTAGCAATATATATATATAACTAGCTGTTACTCGCAGCTTTGCCCATGCGGATTTTGCAAGCAAACCTCATTTATATTTAGTATTTCAACAACCATAGTAATTGTTATATAACACCTGCCGCTGAGAATGATGAGAATTGCTGAGAATCAAACGAACTATTTTCAATTTGATAAATTTTCTGGAACGTTTACAATCGTTCTATAATCGAATCAATATGCAATAACAAATTCGAATTTAAAACGGTTCAAACATTTTTAAAATCGAAATATATAAAAATATTTATAACAATGTCTGAAATGTTATTAATTTAATACACCTAAGTACTCGATGAAGACTAAATCCTCTCCCTCTCCCCCCTGCGGGAAAATTTCGAAAAATCCCTTCTTAGTGTGCATTGCCATGGTATACCCTACTAAAACGCAGATAAAAACAAAAAATCGCATCTAAAATAGTACAGTGGAAGTCGTCGTTCCAGTTAAGCCTTAATGCTCTCCCTCTTCCCCCCACGGGGGAATTTCAAAAAATCCCTTCTTAGTGAGCGTTTCCATGATGTACCCTAACTGTGTACTAAATTTCACCTCTTTAGGTTAAGCGGTTTGCTCAGGGTGATGATGAATCAGTGAGTGAGTGAGTCATTCATTCATTCAGCTCTAATTTTAAATCAAATAGCACAATAATAAGAAAAAAACAAATATTAAGTGTAACTTCTACAGATTTTTGTTTTATACTTAATTATCAGAATTATAGTTTAAGCAAACAAACAAATTAATCACAAGTAAATTAAGTAAATATTCTAGCTGGCAAAGCCATATTAACACATGAACCTGTACAGAATTAAATAAACAATTATTATTTTGCATTCTTCTCTTCAACATTTTTCTTGTGATGAATTCATCATTATTATTGCAAACATCTGACGACTGAAACAGAGCAGTACATCTAATAGTCTTCTCACCATCACTAAATCTTTCACTGTCACTTCTCATATACTGTTCTGTAGTAACATACCAATTTCATTTGTCATAGTATATCTTACCTCCTCATCATAATTAACATCAGTTCTCAATATTTAAGTATATTGACTACATAGAACATAATCAATCACTGCACTTTGACTCTCAAATAACAACCATCAAACAAAACTTCTTTCTTTGGCAATACTTAACATGTTGCTTTTACAGTACACTTATATACCAAGTGCTTTCATCCAAAATCAAAGCTGAAACTGATAACTTGTAAAATCAAAACCATTCATATCCAATTTGTTCATATCCATTCATATCCAATTTGTTCATTATACCCAGCAAATGGGTATAATGAACAAATGTTTTTGGTTTATTTTATAAACATGCTTCACGTTTCAAACTACAAAATTTTGAAATTCTAAATTGGAATTTTTCAAACATTCATTGACATTATTTATAAAATTTTTAGAATATTATAATTTTGTATACAGAAAGACATATTTGAAAATGTATTTTATATACTAATGAAAAACTGAGTGCATAAAATAAAATATAAATAATAAAAAATCTAATAAAAATAAAAATACAATTAAAGTGAGCAATAAGAATTCAATATGCCTACATTTTTTCATGTATGATTAATCTGCAGGTTTATCAAAGAACAGCCAAGCATTCTGAATTTTTATGGTCTATATAAGTATTTTTTACTGTGGTCTTGAATATCTCTGTTTCAAGTGTTCT